TGCTTGCTGAGGGGGGGGGGGGTGGAGTTCCTGGTTCAGGTCTTTCTGCTTTCCCATTTGCTAGGTTTTTGAGAAGAAATGGACAAACAATCCATGGACTGGTGTTTAATGTCTTTTTTTAAACTCCAGTGTTATTTTTGTGTGTTTTCCTATGAGCTTAAAAATTATAATCGAAAAAGAACAGAAATCTTGCCACCAGATCCAAACACATGCGCAAGCAGCAAGGTAGAAACGTGCAGTGCCACCTCACAGTTTTTTGCCACTGAAGTCAATAAATGAATTTGTTACGTTATCTTTGCTGTGTGTGGGTTTCTTTTTGAGTTTTATTTTTCCTTCTATTCCAGTTACTGACCTAAATTTTTATATTATAGCTGTTGCTCAATCAACTTCTGGTGGATTGGGCAACGCTGAAAACAAACGTAGTCTTGGGTTCTTGCTTGTGAGCCTGGGCCGACTGGCATCTGTTTCCTTGGGGATGAAGGCACTGAGTGCTAGGGCACCCTTGGGAGTGTTTATCTGTCAGAATCTGAGTCACATCCATGAGTGTCTATGAACAGAAGAAGGTTATTGAATGCTCAGGACTGAACCAAATTCTGCCTGTACTTCGCTGGAGGGAAAAAAGGCTCATGCTGCTATCCAGGTAACTCTCATGCCCCTTCTCACATCTCCACTTAAAACAGCAGCAGCCTTCAGTGTCAGGCTGGACGGGGCTCTGAGCAACCTGATCTAGTTGAATGTCCCTGCTCACGGCAGGGGGGTTGGACTAGATGACCTTTAGAGGTTCTTCCAACCCATATTCTATTCTATTCTATTCTATTCTATGAAATATTTCAGTAATAGTCACAGGTTAAAAATAGATTCTCTTACTATTTAGTTTGAATTCCCTGATGCTTATGGGCTGCATCTCCTTAGTGTTATGCAGCTCTTTTGATTTGTGAACTATAATTACTTGCAACTGTTCCAACACATACAAATAAGCAATGTGTCTTTTTGTCTATGATATAATAAATGAACAAAAATAAAAATACAGCAAGTGCCTAAAATTTTGGATACAACTATATATTTAAAATACAGTATCAGAGAAGAATGAGAAAGAACTCATGGACCTGTATTTAGCAGCAGTAGTTAAATTACGTAATCCTATATAGAGAAAACAATACGTCTTTCAATTTTAAAAGTTAGTGAATATAAAATATATTAAAAATGTATTGGTTCCCTTGAAGCTTCAGAATTAGCTTTCCGAAGATGGTGGTACTATGAAAACAAGAGGTGATGCAATTTAAAAAGAGAAAAAAAACAGTATTACCAATCTTGTTAACACTATGATAGAATGAATGCATGTTGGAGCTCCCTGAAATTACACTCTATAGTTATAAACACCTAAGAGTTCAGTGACCTACTACAAGTAAGTTTGAAACATTTTTAGTTCATGGAAGTGTTTATTTGTTTCTTTATTTGTATGTTTCTTTATTTATCCTATAGTAATCATAGCTTTTGTTTTGATGTGTTACTGTTACTTTGTTGCTACATGAAATTCTTAACTTTAGTTCTATTTAATTTTAACTTTGAAATAAATACTACTTTTTTCATCTGTGCCATTATAGTTATTATTAAGCTTCCAAAACAAATTGGTAACACTTGTCGTTCCGGATGATGGTAATTTTGGTGCTTCTTTTCCTTTCTTCCAGGGGTGTTAGAAAAAACATGCTTTTATTCAAATGGAAGTGAGGGCCTCACAGTTAACGGTGGCATTGAAACATCTGATGTTCTTTTGCCAAACATGTTTGAAAACAGTTCCAAGACTGATCCCACAATGGATCTCAGCACACAGCCCTCTTCCTGGACCACCACGCCTTTACCCCACATTGACCAAATGAACAAGAACTCAAATATATTTAGAGACACTTTCCAGGAAAATTCATTTCCTCTTGCAACTCAAGCCACAGTGCTCAATCCTCGCCCTACATATGATGCTGCTTTGGCAGAGGGCTCTGAAGACAGCACCCAGCTGTTTGCCACTGCAGAGGAGGCGACTTTGTGGTCTACACATGCATCCTTTAACGACGCAGAGAGGATGACCACTCTGCCAGTATTAAGTCCTACCCGGCCATCTGTGTCACAAAAAATGGATCAGAAAAAAAGTAAGTTTACATTTTATTTGGCTCCATAATTCTGACTCAAAAAGTACAGAACGTACTGTTGGCATGCTTCCCAACGTGTTCCCATGAGTTCTGAGGAATGTGTCCCTTTTGATAATTTATTTTATCGTGCACATTCCGTGTTGCAAGTGACTGGTTTCTTATCAGAACATCTGATCGATCCCGTTGAGGAAGATGCAGTAAATTCTTTCAGGTATGAATACTTACAATACATTCTTCAATTGGTGATAATCACACATGCTTACCAAGGCTGAAAATGAGTTATTGCAGACTGTATTCAGTTTGTAGATTGAATTTTCTATGTTTCTTTAAAATTACGTATGTTGCAAGTACCTTCCTGAACTTGGGATGTAATTACAACTTTTTCTGTGTTAATGGATAAATTCTTCTCTAATTTGAAGCAGTTTCTCTATGTAGCAATAAAGTTCCAGTGATGTTTCTGAGGACTATAATCAAAATGTCTAGAGAGAATAATAACAATTAACTGTGATCAGTATTTTTTTTTTTGGTTTGACTATGAAAGTAGGTGCATTTCATTAGTGCCATGGTAATTTTATTGATTCACCATGTCAGTGGTAGTGAAAGGTTCCCTGATACTGTTTTGCTAACAACTGAAACAGTAGGGTACCATATTAAAATGAATTTGTTTCTCTTGAACTGTGTATCATTCCTTTGCTCTTGATCCCACCAGAGCACAAAGCAAAACTTATTCCAGGTCATAGAGAGGTCTGAAATAGATGAAAGGAGATAGTCAGTGACCTAAAAGTGGCACATTCTGTTAAATGTATTTTTGAAATTTCTATAAAATGAAAATGAAGAGATGGTATCTGACAGTGGTGATCACTTCTGAAAGGCCACTGAATTATATATGTTATTTTGAGGAGCAGGTCTGTATGTCATTCCTCTATTGGATTCTGTGCTCAGTTAAGTTGTAAGACCTGATATTAGTTACCTGAGATTTTTTGCTTGGCTGTTTTTCTTTAAGCATTCTCCCTTCAGGAGTTTGTGTGTGTCCCGTCTTCCCTCCCATCATCAAACAGGCAGGTAAAAGTTGAGAAACAGCTCTGTTATGACTTTTTCTTGTTCTTTCTGGAGAGAAGTAAAAGTAGGGAAAATCTTTGAATAAGACTTTCTTTTTTTAAAACCTGGCATACAGAAGAGATTTGTTTTGAGGGCATTTGGGTGATAGCTTATTTTCTCAAAAAATAGCTTTCAAAAATAATAACTTACTGTGAATCAATGATTTGTCATATTTTCTTCTGTCCCCTAGACTGTAGTGACCCCACAGGCCATTTGAATGGTCCAGGCTTTCTGTAGGTTCTGCTTGCTAAATGATTTTTCTTAAACAGATTTATCTCTTATTTTCTCCCCCTGCACCTCAAACTCATAACAAATGTATATAAATGCACACTTATATCCTATTAGTGATTCATTTATTTATCCCTTTTGGTAACTTGGTTAATGATCATGGTGCCAAGGAACAGCATAGAAGCATAGTGTGCTACGCTACAGATACTTCCAACCCATAGGATTTTCAATAATTACTGTAGCAAAGCACACCTCAAAGCTAGTGGCCTGATGATTAATGTTGAGATAAACTGTAGGGCAAGATACTGCCTGTTTTTCTGAACTAGGTTGTCTTTGATGTTTTGTGGGGTCTAACTGTTCCTGTTCTAGAAGATGGTGTCTTTGCATTGCAGTCTTAGTAACTGGGTAGATACAGTATGGATATATTGTATAAGATTCTGTGTTTGTATTTGTATTCATTTGCCTAATCATCACATTTGAGACACCTGGAATTCCAGGAAACAGAGATGAAACAGTGTAAAACGTTTTTCCCTTTTCTTACCACGTTGGAATGAACTCTTTCAAGATGGATATAATATGCGTGCGTGTGTGTGTGTGTGTGTGTGTGTGTGTGAAGTGATATCTTTCCCTCCTAGGATGTTGATGCAAGGACAGTGCTACAGTGCCTCAGGACAACCTTAGGTCTGGATTTCTAAACTTTCAAATATTTGGGGTTTGGTGTTATATAGAAAGGCATTTGTAGCCTATGAAGACATTTGTAAGTATGTGCTCTATTCTGGTAAGTGCAGTTCATTCCAACAGCGGTATGACTGTGTGTATATTCAGTAGGCGTGACTACATGGCATTCTACTGTGAGGTAGTTTCTTCTGTGTAAAGAGAAAAGGACAAAAGATTTGCAATGACAAATTTGAAAGACCACAGGTTTCTTTAAAAAACAAAAACAACAACAAAAAACCCCATCCCAAACGAAGATACTTCAAGTTAGGTTTTTCTCCTCCTACCAGAAACATCAGGAGCTAGTATGTTGCTAATCAATAACCTCTCAGTCTTTGATTCCACTTTCAAGTGTTTTGCTTATCTGTATTCATGTGAATGTTGCCTTAATTCTGTGTGTAGATACATAAAAAATGTATATATATTTTGGGGATCCAGAAGAATTTGGTCTTGGAATTACTATGTGTTCCCACGGCTGTCCGAGGCATGGAGGACTAGAAAGCAGGGGATTTTGACGAGTACACAGGGCTCCTCACTGCCTCGCTTGTCCTGGCCTTTGCAAATTAACTCCTTACACTTGTCCTCGGTCTCTTTGATCTCTCTTTTCCCACTAAGCTTTGCTTCTTGGAGAGAACTCTAAGGTAACAGAGAACATGGTCTGTTGTTCACAGGAAGTTCTTACGTATTCTGATGTGGAGGCAGATGGGGAATAACTGGGAGATGAGATATGAAGAAGTTTTGGAATAGTGAGACTGGAATAGCCTTTTGGAGTAAAAAGGATTTTTTGGGACAAGTAAGACTTAATGACCACATGGGAATGGTGGTAGTAGATCAAATTAAGTCTCTCTTGCTTAGTGTCTGGATCCATCTGCAACCATTACCACATGCCTAAAGAAGAATAAACTAGGGCTAGCATACAGAGACACTTCAACATTATATGGTAGCAGATTCCAGTGATCTGCAATGAGTCCTGATGAGCGTTCTCCCATGAATTTATGTAATCCCTTTGGAACCCATGTAAAATGGAGGTTTGAGCTTTTTAGGCATATCTTATAAGGAAATTAATCTCCAAATGAAGTGTGAGGCTGATGTTCCACCGTCATCAATGCACGCTAGCAGATCATCCATCAGTACAAGTTTCATCTGGTTCAAATGTGGGGAGGTGAATGCATTTCTGTTGATTTAGTAAGCATGCTTAACTTGGACTTTATGCTGGTTTTATGCAGGGTGTTAAAAGACAAATGATAGGTAATACAACATAGAGACTGCCAGTGCAAAACCAACCAGACAAAATTCTCTGAACGCATTTGAACTGGCATTCATATGGCTGTAATGTTTATGGTCTGGTGTTCGTATCCCTAGCACTGGATTTGCTTTACTGGTGAACCACAGCTTCAATAAAAGACATTAGAACACATTAATAAGAGAAATGATAAACATTGTGACCATATGGTATTCACTCAAGACTTTAAAATAACACAAGTAAGACATTGCTGAGTTACTAACTGGAGAGGAATGAAATTTGGCACATATGACATATATTATTTAAAAAGTCCTTGAAGCAGAAGGAAGTTCTTTGGCAGAAATTCTAGTAAAGACCAGATTAGTGGGTAAATGGAAATGTGTGATACAATAAGGAAGAGATGAAGAAGTTTATTTTCATTTTACAAAGGGAAGCAATGCCTCACAAGTCTATTAGAAAGTTCTTTGAAGGAGTCAGTGAAAATGCTGGTTAATACAACATACTTGGCTTTTCAAAGTGCTGTTAACAAGAGTCTTCACTGAGAAGTCTTAAAGACACTCTTCTCACAGACTAATTGCTCATTAAAAGACAGAAGGAAAAATAAGAATGAATGGTTAGACTCCACAGAGAAGGAGGTTACTGATGGAGTCTTACAGGGTTTTCTGATCTGGGGAAGCAGTGAATAGTCAAGTAACGACATTTCTGCTAATACAGAATTATCTGTCTAAAATGAATAGCTGGGAATCACACGAAGGTCTCATAGAGGAGGGAGTGACTGATAAAATATTTAGATGACTTTGTGCCAATAGGTGCAAAAGAATGCTGGAGAGTGGGAAACAACCCTAGCTCTACGTAATACAATGCTGGACTCAGCTAGCTTTGCCACCAAAAAAGACTTCACAGTTTGCTGCAGACAGCATTCTGGCTCCATGACTGTCAAGAAGGCAAACAGGGTGTTAGGTATCGTCATGAAGTCTGTGAAGAACAAAACAGAAAATCTCATTACATCAGTTTATAAGTTCAGACAGATAATAGTAGAATTGGAAAAGGCAAATAGCAGACAACCAGACCAGTAGAGACGTGGAATAGCTTAGATGTGAGGAGGCACTAGATAGGAGGAAGACATTGTTTTCCTCCTGGAAAACAGCTGGCTGAGGAGTAAGAGGTTGTGGTAGATATCCATACCATTTTGAGTGTCCTGGAGAAATAGAACAGGGAACAGTTACTCACTGTTTTTCATTATATCAGTAGGTGCCCTTTTTTTTTAATTTTTCGTTATCAGACAGTAAGTTAAAACAAAAAAAGGAGACATCATGGAACTCATTGCTACAGGATGATGAGAAAACCAGAAAGTACAAAAATGCTTGGAGAATTCATGAGGGGTTGGTCTGTTGGGGGCTTTTAAACACAATAGTGTCCAGTGGCAACCTCTGACTTGTGAAGGCTCAAGATTTTAGGTTGCCAGAAGTTGTTGTTATACTCCTAGGTGGTTGTTCCTTATATTTGCCCTAAATTATTAGAATTTTTCTTGAACATATAATGCTGGCCCCTGCCAAAGGCCAGCTTCTGAGTTAAATGTATCACGTGTTACCTCTCTGTTGGAAAGCAAGTGAAGGAATACGCTTTTCCTGTTGAGGGATTTGAGTTTGTGTGACTTCATGTTTAAATGTTTTCTGAAGGCATGGGCCATGGTCCTAAGTCACTAGGATGGTTCATT